AATTATCCCTTTAAGTAAGGATGCTGTGGTCATTAAAACCCCAGAAGGTGATAATTGTATTGAGGTTAATAATGTTGTTGTTCTGGTACAAAACTTTGTTTTGTTTAAAGGTTGTACGTTTGTTGATTATAGGGAGTATTCCAAGAAAGAAAGCTTGTTTGACTACCCAATAGATTCCCAGGAATTTTTGTTGTCATTGGAGCTGAAATGTGCTAGCCTTAGACAAAATATACATGAGTATGTGAGGTGGCCAGTGAGGGACAGGGCAGGTTTGCTGTTTTCCCTTTCTGCATTTAAAATGAAATGTGTGTGTGTGTGTGTTTTCCTTTTCTGTTTTCTTTTTTTTTTCCAGAATTGTAATTGGACATTTTGAGCTACACTTGGACACAATATACACAAGTATATGCCATCTAAGAGTCACAATTGGTTTCATGTATTTGCTTTTATATGACCTTTTAAAAAAAAAAAAAAGTTGTTTATCCACATTTGTGTTTTGCTTCCAGAAATCATGTACCACATTGTCAGCTTTGTTGACACTGAAGAAGTAGAGGTTGTGCCTGCAATCTGGGTGAAGAATGGTGTGTGTTTTTGGCCTCCATACAAGGGTGAAAGAATTCAGAGGTCAACCAAGTGTTTGGAGCAACCCCAGGAGTCTTGGTCTGCATATAAAGTTAAAATTATGTATACTGCAAGTATGTATAAATCCTTTCTGTACACATTGTTTAATTAAAAAGGTTCAATGGTAAACAACTTTTTGGATTGTTCTGATTTTTGAATTCTGTCTTTCATAGATAATTATAGTGAAGCACGCCAGAAGCTGCCTCTTGCAGAACAGCAGACCGATCTCCAGTCAGAGGATGAGCCCGACTCCCGGAGGCCACCAAAACGAAAAATAAAGTAAGATTGTGTATATTATGTAATTCTTTAACACAGACCTGTCTAACAGGTCCTTGTTTCGTTGTGCAGTTAAAAAAAAAATAACATGCATTTTTCTTTTGGAACTGCAAAAAGGGAATATTTCACTGAATAATTAACATACCACCCTCACTTCATCAAATTTAGTGATCATTA